TTGCCGCTTATGCTGACCACCCAGCCTCGCTCACTTTCTATGTTTGTCACCTTTGGGGTAGTCAGTGCTTCTGTCAGCTGTCTCTTCTGGGAAGTATGGTTAGGGTATGGAAAGAAAAAGATTCTGGATCTTTGTTCCTTTCTTGTCCCTCTTCTTTTTGCCCTTAGTTTTTGTGGTTTATTTATGCCTGAGAGGACATTTCCTATCCATCACTTTCACACTGCCAAGTTGGGAACATGTAACTGAAGTCCTGCCTTGATGGGATCACAACTGTCTGTGGTGCAGCAGAGATAAATGAAGCCTTTAAGGAGTTTGCTTTGGGTATTAATTATGAAATCCCATCAAGGTATGGTAGTGTTGCTGAGAGTGAGTGGTTTCCCAGTTAAAGGGCCAAATAACAAATAGGTACATCTGTAAACTTCAGCAGAGGGACTCCTTGGACATGTATCTTCCTGAGTAAGGGCAAGAATCTGTGAAGGCTGGTGCATTAATAAACATCCTCCCTACCCCGAAAAGTAAACACACATCTCAGTATCTGGAAGAGGAGAAAGGTAAGACATATGAAAAACACTGAAAGTAGCATTCCACTGATGAACCCTAGTAGATGTGGACATCTTCCCCTAGGTTGAGGCATCGCTGTCAATGTCCTTAGTTTTGAGAATTTCTAGAGGTTACTTTGTTGTAACTTTGCCACAAAGATTAATCTTGTAATGCACAAAATCTAATAAAAGCTGTTATCTGGGTTATTTTTCTGTCTTTCTTGCCTTTGTTAGTATCTACCTGTTCTCTTTATGTCCATTTACTGGAAACATTTTTTACAAGCTTTAAGCCTCTGAAGTAGAGATTAATTTCTTCCTTCCTCTGTTTTCATAGTGGTTAATGAGAACAACTTTTGTCCTTTTGGCTATATCTTCCCTACCTGAGTCCTGGCAGAAGAGAAGGGCCAAGATGCTGTATTATTTATGCAGTTATTTTGTCATGGCTGCTGGGAATTATGTGAAAGGACATGGCATGGTCTCTATGCTTCCTGTAGTGTAAGGCTGTATTTGAAGTCTGCTCCTATAATCAAAATGTAAAGTCATTAATTTAGAACTTTCCTTTGTAAGGCATAATGTTTTTCCTTTAAACTTAATTTTCTTGGAAGGTGCAACTGTCAGAGGTTTCTCTCATCTGTGCACCTTCCCTGAATCAAAATCTGTACTACCTTTCTGTATTCACGGTAGGAAATAACAGAAACAATAGTAAAGTGAAAGCAATTCATTGCAGACTGCATGATAGTATGCATTATTATTTGTATCTTTCTGAAAGTGTTCAGAAAATACGAATTAAGCTTTGTAAATTATTATGAACCCTGAGAAGTGAGGAGGAACATATGACCCTGTCTTGGCAAGGGGAAGCTGGGGTGCTGAGCGTTTGTGGTATGTCTTAAGTTCTGTTACAGCACGTGTAGAAGAGATGAAAGCAGAATCCTCTCTGCTTTCACTGGAAGTTGCTCCCTGGATTACAGCTTGTAACTTCAAGTTGGAGAAGGAATGTGTGCTAGGAACACTAATGCTGATGGTAGATGTTGTGGTAGGAATGCTTGTTCATCAAAACTGGGACCTCGGTCACTAAGGAACACTGGATCTTCAAACAGCTTTGCTGTAACTTCCTTTTACAGCTGTGCACAACAACTTGAACTGAAGAGCCCATGCAGAGGCGCTTTTACCCTTTCACAGTCATTGTCTCATCACCTTCCTACTGAAAGTAAAGCTTGAAACTTTTCTGTGTATATTGGTAGTGTCTGGTCATGGTAGGAAACAGACATTTGAGGCAGCCAGGATTTGTTTCACAGATGAGGTTTGGAAACTCCTATTTTCTCTTTACTCATTAAAAAAAAAAGTATTTAAAAATAATATTTAAGCTCAGGAAGTCCTTGAAGCTCTTTTTGGAAATGACTTTTTCTCTGCTTATAATTCAGGCATTGAGAAACTGAAAATTTTAGATGGTCTGTTTTGACTTGCCAGATTAAGTGAAAATAATTAAAAGTTTATCAGGACTAGAAGTATTTTGGTTTGAAAGAAGGGAAACAGGTGGCAAGCATTCATTATCAAAAATCTAAATTCAGTGTCTGAGCCAGAGCAATTAAATGTAAGCGGAGAAAAAGCCTCCCTAGCCCTAACTCTGTGTTTACATACATACAGATCTATAAAAAGAGTGGTTTTGCAAGAGTTATCTTTGTGCTTCATCAGCAGGATTTTGAAACAGCATTGTTATCATAAAGCAGGCTATAAACGTGGTGTGTCATGGGAAGAATAAATGCATACGGAATGATGAACTGAAAGGTAAGGGTGTTGTTTGGGGACTTATGGTGGTTGGGGTTTGGTTTTTTGTGTGGTGGGGTTTTTTTTTTTTTTTAAATAATCCAACAGAGCTGCAAAGACTGTAAATTTTCTTTGATTTTCCTTGCTGTCTTTCTTACTCAGGTGTAAGTCTGCAGGGAGTCTGAGGGCTAGAGCCCTGGCCAGTTGATGGCAGCAGCATGGCCCTGGGTTAAGCAGGAGAGCCGTCATCTGTGTTCTTACTTGATCCAGAACCCTTCTGTTCTTCAAATCTGTCAGAAGAGGTTACTTTCTTCCTGTGATAGCTGAAGTTGGGAAAGCATTAGAACTGGCTGCTGTTCTGTAAATCTGCCCTCCTCCTCTGTTAGATCAGGCCAGCCCTAAGGATCGAGCAGTGTTCCCAGTCCACTGGCTGTGACCTGCTGGTAAGCAATGACCTCTTCCTTTCTCCCCTGTGGGCTTTGCTTCCTTACATGATGTGTCCAGGGCTCTGTGGAATCTGAACGGGATTAAATCCTTGAGGAATTCAAGTTCCCCGCTTGGTCTCAGGAGGGAGGAATTAAATGTGAGGCCCAACAATATGGACAGGTGAGAATCACCTGCAGTCTCCACTGTGTCCACAGCCCTGCCCCCGGGTATGCAGTCTGCAGGCACCGACGTGTGTGTGATGCTCCCCGTCCCATGGAAAGCCATGGCAATCTTTTTTTTCCATCTCCTATGGGATTGGGCTGGAGCAGTAGTTGAATTAGAAAATAACATGCCAAAATATGCCTCTGTTATGCAACAGTAGCTTGGATCTTCTCGCAGAAGGCATCTCATTGGTACTGCAGTAATTGGGAGCAATCCCTAGTCTGCATTTGACATGGGAGTAGCCCCTAAGGCACGCATGAGAAATGCAGGGTTTTGGGTTTTTTTTGATTGACATGAATTACTAGGTGGTTGACATTATTTCACTTTTTTTTTTTTTTTAAATTAAAAGTGATTTGTTGAAAGTGGGCATTTGGATTGAAACTTTGCACTAAAAAATACACATTTGTGTTTAAGAGTGCAGTTTTCAATTACCCTTTAACATCTTTTTCTGGGCTCGTGCAGGTAGAGAAAAGGACAAAACGAAGTGTTGATAAACATAAATTGGGCTGAAAAAATTCTTTCCTAGTGTCTGTCTCATAGCAGTGAAAAGACCAGTGTTCATGTGTTCTAACCAAATGATGCTGGAGGTTGTGAGGTACTGGATGCTACACAAATAAAAAGCTCTTCCTAAAAAGGTGATTATCTCAATGAGGGAAGGCAACAAAAGCAGCTGAAGTGACCTGCCCTAGTCATCTAGCTTGTCAGGAGTGAAGAAAGAGGGGACATCTAAGTTTTTCCAACTTATACAATATGCAGGGCTCTGGATCCCACTTTCCTTTTTTATGTCCTAATTCCTCTTCCCTGTGACTATTGCAAGAAGCAGACACATTTGCTGCCCAAAATCAGAGGCCAAGGACTGAGCAGGGAGTAGAATATGAATGCCTCTTGATGAGGTTAATTAGTCTGGGTACAGCTGCTATTAGCTTTTAGTGGTCCATGTAGAGCTTTTCATTTGCAAGGGGTTTTCAGAGGTTAAAGGTGACAAAAGGTAGAATGCCATTTTCAAACGGCCAGATACAGTTTCAGATCTTTCTGTAGCTTTTTAAACCATGCCTGGTGAGAACATCACCCCTGACAACCTTCATGCAGGTGGCTGGAGATACAGGGAAGGTAAAAATCACTTCGTTGCCGTATGTGGGAGACTAGAGTTAATTCTGACACTGTTAGAAATGTTCTTTTTCTCTGTAATATGGGATATGTTGGGAAGTGTTTAAAAATTCATAGAAATCCTGTTTAAATAACACAGTCAGTTGGGTTGATGCAGTATTTATTCAGATGCTGAACAGCTTACCCTTCCTTCCCCTCATCATCCAGGTGGGAGAGCGCTTCACTTAGTACATTGCCTTTGAAACCACAACTCCCATTCTCCTTCACGGTGAGCACTGGTCCACAGGGAGGCTTTGGTGACTCCCTTTGACTTTGGTGAGAGCTTGGTGTCAGAATACATCATGGACCAGAGCCCCTTTGTGTCACTTTGGCTGTAAGAAAGACCCTTATTGTCGAATGAAGACAGAGAATATTAAAGGAGTAGTTTCACCCTGGTAAATACTTCACTTCTGGCAGTAAATACTGATTTACAGTACTGCCACCCTTCCCCTCATCCTTGCTCTGTGCCACTGTGAGCCCATCCCCTCACATCTGCTGGTGCAGCTGTTTGCATGGCTTTTCTCTGGGTGGGAGTGGAAGCCAAACTGGGGCTCAGAAGCAGACGGAGGTGGTGGTTTGGTTTTGGCCGAGTTATTTTTGAGCTGGGTGAGTTCCTTTATCACAGTCACAGAGCAGCCACATCTGCATTTGTGCTGACAGAGCTGAGGGAATGGTGTGTACTGGGATTGCCACCAAGAATTGGTCTCGTGAAACTGTGGCCTGTGCCAGGAGGGGAAAGGGATTGCCAACACAGAACTAGCACCTGGCATAATGAGGCAACCATAAGGCGCCTTAGCATGAACAGAGACTAGATCCATAGATACCACAACAAAAACATACCAACAAGGGACATGCTTCCAATGAGCTGTTTAAACTTCCTTTTTTTTTTTTTTTCTTTTTTTGAATTAATGCACAGAAAGGGCTAAAAAAGTGGGAATCTCACTGTACTGTCAAGTGGAGAAACCAGGAACCCTTGCTATTTGCATGCTCCTTGTTTCTCCAGTCCCTTGGGAATGGCTGGTGTTTGCCAGGAGAATGAGAAACTTGTTATGAAAGGAGGAGGACTCAAGAGGGTGGCAGTGGCTGTGGGCTGCTGCAATTCTGCTCTCAAGAAGAGCGTATTGCCTGCTTTATTTTCACACCTCTTTCTGGCATTACAAAAGTGTGTTACAAATTTTACAGAGGAAAGGGAGAAAGGAAGAAAAGGAGAAAGGGCCCAGGTGTGCTGGTCTAGGGCTCTGCAGTCCTGTTTGTCCTCTGATACTCTTCCAGCTCAGATTTCCTGTCCATGGCGAGTTGCAGCTCCTGTTTGATGATTTCGATCTGCTTCTCCAGCTCGGTAAGCTCTTGCATCACTGAGGTCCTAGCAATATTGAGGGACTCTGCTTTCCCGTTGGTCGTTAAAGAAGCCGGAGTCTCTCTCCTCACCTGAGGCAGGGGGATGTCTTGGTGCTGTCGGATCGTCACCTCATTTTGCCCTTCATCACTGCAGATATATTTTTTCCGGTGGCAGTTGCCCAGATTGGCTGTATTCCACACAGCATGCTGGCTGTTCCCTACATGGGACCTGAACAGAGATGTGAGAGTTAATATGGAATCAGAGTCTGCTCTTGTGTGTATGCAGCTCTCCCCTGTGAGCCATTCTACTGGAAAAATACGATGCTGCTGTTATGAATTACACAGAAATATTTTTCCTTTATCCTTGGAATTATTTTTCTTGAGAAGCCCAAATCATGAATGTAAATGGCCACATTTTTGTGATAAAACCATAGCAGAGACTAGAACAGAATCCTAAAATTCACCTTCCCCAACACTTTTTTTTTTTTGGTTAGTTATGAAATTACAGTCCTCCCAGCTCCAGCCAAGGAAAATGCGAGTCCTCCTCCAAAACTCTGTGAAAGCTGTTGCAGTGTCCCAAGTTCATTACAGTGTTACTCCTTTGTGTGTAAGTACTCCCTGCTAGCTTGGGCATTTACTCCCGTGGGGGAGGAAAGAGGCTGCTAGAGCTGGTGTGGAGAAATGGAGGGGAAATGTGCCCTTTGGACTCAAGAGTTGTTGAGTAGCTGCTTGCATTTTGGGGGTTGGACACAATGCTGTGGTGTATCCCAGCTTTGCAGTGTACAGGCATGAGCTTTCTGACAGAATGAATAGAATTTGGAGTTTTTGTGCTGGGGGAGAAATTCCCTTTTGTGAACTTTTTAAAATTACTCAATGTTTTTCTGCAGAAAAGTATTTCCAAAATGTTTTGATTCCAGAGAATCTTTTCTGTCTGTCTTGGGAACTTCATCCTGCTGCCTTCCCAAATGAGGGTGCTTCCCACAGTTTCTTCCTGAACAGAGGAGCACCCCATGGCCCCTGATCTCCAACTGGAACACAAGGAAGCACAGTTTGCTTTTGTGGGAGAGGAGCTTGGATTTCCTGCCTGCCTTTACCTTTTGGATAGATCTGTGTGCATTCATTTTATAAACAGGTTTATAAAGTCTGAAGTAGTTGCTCGTAAAACTGCTCCATCATAGAGTTCTGTGGGTATCCTTGGACAAAATGCCTAGTAGTGTGAGCTACTGGTTGGCGGGTTAGGGAAGAGGATTAACGCTTCAGGATTGGGACTGCCGAAAACAGTTGGTTTCAGGAAGAGTCTGGAGCTGGGAGTAGATACTCTTCTTACCTGCCTGCCGAAAATAAAGTTGGAAAGTGGAAATTTCTTTATGGCAAGTGGTGATCAGGAATGTTTATAAGAAGATGGCATGTCAGAGAGAGAGGAGGGGAAGACTTAGGCAGGAGTGGCAGCTCCAGCTTGGGTCATGCTTTGGAGGGCTTGGGGAACCCCAGAGGGGATGTGTGTGTTTTATTTGTGTGTAGATCATCAATTTTGCTCTTATTTCAAAATACTAGGAAGACTCTCAAGTCTTTTGCTAAACTGGATGTGTGTTTTGCGACGCAATTATGCTAATCAACTGGAGGGATGAAAACAAGTTCTTCTTAAGCTTGTTTCAGATGGTGAATAGGATCAGCCTGGGAAAGTAGAAACTGGCAAAGCAAGGCCAAGAGCAGAAGGCCACCACGCTGCATTTCCACACAGGGGTCCAGACAAAAAAGGTCACCTAGCAGAGAACGGAACTACTGACAGGGGGCTGTGGTGCCTGGAGCTTTCTCCCTGCTGTGTAGCTCTGCAATGCACATGGTGCCCAGGGTCCCGGGCAGCCAGTGCAACCCACTTGCCTTGGAGCAGCAGTGCACGTCCCTGAGAAGCTGCGGCCGTTTGCTGTGTAAATACTTCTCAGTCACATCATTAATCCATAATTTCTTACACATTTTTCTTTCACTAATCAAAACACATTTTTTTTTAATTAGCAATTGACATAACTTCTTCTGCTGCTGGCAGTGTTGCTTTTTTCTTGGGGTGTGAGCACATGGCTTTAACAAAGGCCAGAATCCACAGTTACTCAAGTTTTGTCAACTAAGTGAAACCCGTCACAGCTTGGTCACAGATGCTGAGCAACTCTCCCTAGTTTTTGGAAAGTTATGACCTGAAAAAAATAGTAGATTTTTTTTCCCTGAGGGAAATAGCAGTAGCATAATACAAATTCTTTCCACCAATTTTCTGTATCTTGGTGCTTCTAATAATTGCATAATCCCTAGGAGGAATAAAAAGAAACCGTAGTAATACAAATGATTTGAGAGGCCTGGGTCGCACCTTGCCACGTCAGTATTCATGCCAAGCTGGGCACCATGGTACTAGGTGTCTTGAGTTAAATTCACCGTAACTCTGTGCAAACAGCAGCTCGGATTGTGAGCAAGGACGGTGGGTGGGTGTGCATGCACACACACGGGCTGCATGCTGCGTGGGCAGAAGTTTTTGGGCAACCGCACATCTTCCCGCTCACTGTTGAAAGAATATTTGTGTGGTTCTTTTTCTAAGCCGTTCTCTGTGGGGCTTATGGCCATCTCCTCGCGTTACGGGATTTTTGCACGGCTGGGTATCTGGCAGATAATTCAGCTGTTGCTTTTTGTATCATCACAGATGCAGAGAGCCCCCTCCTCTGTAAGACTTCTCCTCCAGCTGAGTTAGTGCCTCACGTTGTGGAGTGTGAATGCTACCACCCAGCGAGGAGGGTGTCGGGGAGGGGAATGTTTTGCACCTGTCAACTCCCGGTACTGCTGCTCACAGATCAAAAGCGAGGAGATGCTGTGTGCAAGGAGGTGCCACACTACAGGATTTTGTGGGACAATTAGATGAAGGGATAAAGAGAGGAAATTAATGGTGTGCGCTTTTATGTACTTGTTTGTACACAGGCAGTCTGGAAGCTTACAGATGTTTACTTCTTACATCTGCTGCCATTAGGGCAGGAATGACTAACTAAACGCAACATACATTTACACACGTGGGTTTCAGTCATGTCAAATATCTAGCAACAGCCTGGAAGACATTTCTAGTCTGTAGCTGAACGTATCTGTAGAAAAGCAATACTGCTGCCTCTGTCTTGGAAAAACTGCACTAAGTTTTGAGTTACTGAGCAAATGTATAGTTTTAAAAAAGTGCCTTGTGTTCCTGGTAGCCGTAGGTAAGATGTCTCCTCTTCAGAAGACACAGGCTATGAAATCAAGGCAAGGCTGTTACCTACTTTTTTTTTCCAACAGGAGTTGTTTGAGACAAAGGTTTCTGAAAGGACTGCATTTGCCTCTTCTCATCTTTGTTATTTCTCATTCTAAAAAAATCAGAAAGCTGAAAAAGTTTCTAACACATATACTGCCTGATACCTCATTCATTGTGAAGCTAACTCACAGGGCCCTAGTTATCTGCCAGTGCTTTAGTACGTGAGTAATTAATTACCTAAAAACTAGGGCAGCAGACTTAAAAAGCTGCAAAGCTAGTATTTAGAATGGAGGTATTTTTATTAACTGTATGCAAAATCATGAAAGAAGAAAATTTCTAGATTTAATACTTTCTGTTGGAAACAACTAACTCATTTCTGCCTCCCTTCCTTGTCACTTCTATCTTGTTTCCGTTTTTGTGGAGGCGTATATTAGACCTGTAAGTAGTCATCCAAACGCAACACATTTAATTTCAAAGTAATTTCTGGAGTTTGTGTTTTAAGGCACGCAAAACTTCCTACCTCTTTTCTACTCGTTTTGTCTTAGGCTGGCGTTTGTCTTCAGTAAATGAACTGTTCAGAGCACGATGTAATCTCTAGAGGGAAAAGAAGACAATAAATTAGTAAAAGCAAGATTAAGAATAGCTCCATAAGTAAGTAAACAATTTGGGCTTTGTGTGATGGACTTGAGCACAAATCATTTTGCGTGTTCAAGGATCCAAGCTATGTCTGTGCTTTGTGACTACAATCAATTTATTTACCCATAGTTTCCCACGGAAGGGAAATCTGAAGGGTTGATAAATAGTTTGCATTCACAGCAAACACCCAGAGCAATTTTCTCCCATTATTTTCCCTCGAATAATGAAGTAAGTTAACCAGCACTTCCTGTGTGCATCAAAAGTTTGGGAACCCGTCACAGTGAGACAAAATGTTCTTGCTAGGCGGTTCAGGGTAACAACAGTGTTGCTTCTGGTGTCTCAGAGTTGTAAGGTCGCAAGTGCAAATGGAAAGGTCCCTTCTCTAGGCTTTACAGTTGCGAATGTTTGAACTGTTTCCTCTGTGCTTCTCATTTCAGCATTAAACAAGCCTCTTCGAATGCCAAGCATCAGTGCTCTTACCACCTTTTATACCTTGTTCTTGTCCAGGCTTTCTTAGTCAGACACATGACTTTCACAGGGTTACTTCTGAATATGTACCTGACTTGTATGGAGCCAGTACTTCATCTTGGATTTCTTCTTGATTCGTGGCAGGACCAGTCTGTACACGATGTGTTCCCCGATGGTAGTGAGAATGGACAAGCCAAACCCGATGCACAACATCACAAAGAGTCCAGAAAAATGCTTGATGCCCATTTGCAGTGTCTGTGAATAAAAGCAATAAGGAACGTTAATGAATTAGGCTGTTAGTGTATTTTAACGGATGCTTCTGGTTTCTCATTGGAAATGTGGTCTGACTGAATACAGCAGTGAAATACTACAGAATAGTCTGGATAACCATGCACAACACAGCCTTTCTGAGCTGCAGGAAGCTCGGTGTTTGTCAGAGCAGAGTACCTGTCATGGGAATGAGAATCAGGCAAAGACCAGGGAATTTTTTTCCTGGTGCTGTTTCCCTAATGAGATTAAGTGTTTAAGAGGTATGAAAATCCAGTATTTGTGGTGACTTTGCATTTGTAAAAGCAAATACTGCTTGACAGAATATGGTCAGTGAACTGTAGAGCAAGGGCTTCATCAGCAGCAAGCTAAGACCAACTGTTCTTATTTTCTGGGAATTGATCATTAACTTCCCCTTTTTGTGCTTTACCCTTGATGGAAGGTCATGGAGAAAATGTTTTGCAGTAGTAGCACAAACACGGCACCTCTCCTCTCCCTACATTAACAGGACCAAAACTCTGTTTGTTAGGAACCCTGACTGCAATTATGGAAAACAGGAACACTCTCACTTCGTTCTGCTGACCCACCTTTTTCATGTAGGTTAGGAAGCCTTTCATTAATTTGAATCTCTTATTGGCATTAATCATGTTTGAAGACCAGGAAACACATGTACAGCAGCAATCTGTACCACAAACATCTTCACTCTGGTGGCCCAGGTTTGCATGTTATGTGTAATCTTAGTACCTTTATTCTCAGTTATGAGTCTGTCAGTATCTAAAACCTCTTGCTGATAATTACTGCCCATGGACTACTTCGGAAATACTTCCAAGAATGCAAGTTCTACTTACGCCTTTCCATTAAAGAATGTTATTCCCCATGTCAGGAGAAAAAAGGGAGCACAAAGTTGCTTAGGTAGGGTTGTGTGTCCGGAGATTATTGTTGTGGGTGGTGGTGGGGATTGTGCTTTGTTATGACCATAGCTGTGTAATCTAGACAAGAAGATCACAGAATCTTTGAAAAAAATCTTGTTATGAGGTCACTTTAAGCCGAAGACTTGATGAGTGACGAGTCCATTGAAGTTGAAGGCTTGAAAGTCCCTTTGTCTGCTTTTGTTGGGTGATTGTGAACAATGTGTCTCTTGTCTGGTTTTCATATTTGATTTCTGTTCTTCAAAACACAATGATAGGAGGTAGCATATCAAAGATTTTTAACAAGAGGAGAGCTGCAGCAATCTAGCAGAGTGAGAACTTTTGCATGTGGTGCTGGCAATGAACTTTTACTTCAGGGGTTCTTTGCCAAAATCAACCTGCTTGCCCCAAAGTGCACCATTTTTGTGAAGAGAATTTTTTCTGCCTATGAATAAACATTTCAAGGGTGTTGAAGTGTATAACGGGGTTGTAAAAGCAATTTCTAAAGGACCTTACTGCAGCCTGGAAAGAAAAGTGGGAAACCACAATAGAGTGATTTTTAGGGTAGAAGGGTGTCAGTGTCTCGTCACGAGGGTTTTCTGGTGCTGAGATTGCATCAGTTCAACCTAAAGGAAAAATTCCCCCTCAGCATTGGAATTTCTTGTTGGCAAGAGCCTGTGTCCCATACATCTTCTTTCCAGTTATAGAGGAACAGGAAGATGACAGAAAAATCACAGGTGGTAATGCTTTAAACCACTCAAAACCCATGGTGTTTGGCTGGACGTCTGTGTTACCTGTTACTACCTTCTAGCCCAGGTAGCATAAAAGCAGATTGAGGCTCCATGTCTGACCTTTTCCTCAAGGTCTTTAGAGCAAAAACCTCAGTATGGCCCATTTATGAATTCAGCACGTATGTGTAAAAAGCTGAACACACCGGTTAAATGTTCTTGTGCTGATTCTCCAAGAAATGTTAATGCAAATCACTTGCTTCCCAAAAAAGATATTCGAGGGCAAGTGTGAAACAACTTCCTTACAGATGTAGAGTTAGCAGTAGATACAAGAATAAACTGAATGAGAAACAGAATAATAATTAAAAAGGAATAGATTTGCTCAGTCATCTGAAGAACACACCTACCTATATATACTCCCAGGCTACTGCTGTTTGGTGTCATACAGAGTAACAGTCTGTGCGTGGGCATTGCCATAAACTCTCTTGGTGGCAGGAACCGGTGAATCAGCGGGGCGAAGAAAGGTTTTTTTTGCTTAGCTACCTGAGAAGTAATGCAGAAGAATCTTCCCAAAGGCAGGGTAGGTCAGCCAGGAGGACTGATCTGTTGGTGTTAGGTTGCTGTATGGTAGGGGGCATTTATATTGCTCTGAGAATAGGAGCTAGGTTTAATGGAATACGATACAACTCCAGCCATCCAAAATAATAATGAAAAAGAGAGAGACTCTGGCAATTGCAGTGGGGATCCCTGCATGTGTGAAATGTCTCCTGCAGCCTGAGGTCAGTGTTTGATGCTATTCCAGTACTGCTGCAGAGAGAATGCTTGGCCAGCTCCTTACATGAAAAATAGCTCCCTTGTCTTCAGTAAAGCTGCTCTGATTTATGCTGATGAGGGTCTGGCTCACTGTCCTGTCAGCTCTGCCGAACTATTTTCTACCTTCCCTGGAAACAGGTGAAAGATTCCAGCACTAGCATCTCAGGTGCGTTTTTCAGTTGTAATGGATAGCTTTTGAAATTGTCCCAAACAAGACATCTTCTGCTAGGAAAAGAAATGCCAAAACAAAACATCAATAATATTTCACCTAGCAATAAATAAGGTAATGCATTGAAGGAGCTGCCTGATAGAGGCTGCACAGTAGAGAGAAATTTTTGAGACTAAATTAAGTGCAGAAACGAGGTAGGGGAGACATAATTAGCACAGTGTGTCTTACCGTGTTTGGAATCATTATTTACAGCAATCAGAACATTTACATGCCATTCCAAAAAGGCAGTTTATCAGTTGTTCATAATTACTGTAGACATACACATGGTAAATAATAAAGGCAACCATCTATTAGAGGCACATTTTCACAGCTTCATGCTGACTGATACCAGAGCAGCAAGCTCTACTACTTAATTTGTAGTTTGTGTATGTGTGTGTAGCAGCATATCTGGAATATATTTAGAAAGAGCAGCAATAAACTGGATTCTCTATATCACTGCTTTCTGCTGAAGTGGTAGGGGATCAGGTGTGTGTCTGTTAGGTCTTTGCTGGCATTAGAAAACCAACCAATGACTTTCTATACTGCAGCATCTTCTCTTCGTTACCTTTTTCTTTTTTTTTTTTTTTTTGAATAGAAGCCCGTAATGTGATATATTCTCTATTAACCCAGGATAAAAATACACTTCTTGCTCTAACTCTGTAATCATAAATTCAGGAGGTACTTCCCTGCATTTTAGGGGAAGGAACTCAATTATAGTGGTTCCGAAGCAATAAGCAACCATAGTCAATCCTGTGATGATTACAGCTAATTGGTGCTAAGCACTGCCCTGGCAACAGCCTCCAAGGTATTTGCCACTTGCAGATTGGCAGTTTCTGAAAGCCAGCAAATACAAGAACAGAAGTGGAGGTATCTGCTTTTTTATATATCCTTAGAGAGACTTTTCTGCAATCAGTACCTAAACATTTCTTGCTGTCTCCTCTGTAGTTATATGCTTTTTCTTTGGGACCTGAAGAGAAGGAAGGAGATGCAGAGAATAGAGTTTGATATTTGTGTTCTCTTTGAAGTGGGGAGCAGAGGCAAAAACCAGCACTTGGTGATTTCATTATTGGTTTTCATGGGCAAAAATCCTGATTTACTCTGTACTGCAAGAGACTGTAAATGCTTTACTCTTCGTGGTTGTACTGAGAGCCATGGATAAGCCATTAAATATGCCTGTGATCCAGTTTTGACTAATTAGAAGCCTCTAAAAATTTTTGTGGATACTCTGCAGGTTGGCAGCACGGCACAGGTACTGATGCTACACGCTGCTGGACCCAAACACTGAACAGGGATATCGTGTGTGTATTAGCTACAATAAGAAGCTATTCTTTTTGATAGCATTTTCCTTGCAAGGATTTTAAAAAGCTTTGCTGAGATCAGGAGGTTAAATTTGCAGCACTCTGTGAAGAAGGAATTATTTCAGGCTGTACTAGGAATAAATGGATATGAAGGGCAGATTTCTAAACTCATGTGGGCATCTCAGTAGGTTCAGAAAATCCTTCTGGTAGTGATGCTTGTTTTTAGGTAACTAAGCAGTAATAAAACATGTCCCTCTCTCCAAATTGTGGCATTTCTTGTATCTGCAGACACTGTTATTTATTTATTATTATTTATTATTTATTGTTATTTTTTGTTATTTATTTATTATTAGTTCTTGCAGCTTTCTGCAAGCTTTCTGCAAAGAAGTGGCAGCACTGAAGTATTATGTATTTAATCTCTTTAAGGAAGATTATCTTTAGCAAAGGCCTTTAAGGTTTCAAGTGCCAGATTTTAAGATACTGTAAATCACTGTCTTGCCTTAGCAAGAAAAGTTCCTTTCTCCTCCTGTTCTGAGGAGTTTTGCACATATCTGGAAAAAATACTCCCTTTTGTAATAAATCTTTTTCTTTCAACTCACCTATTTTCCCAGCCCTGTCTGTAGCAGGATGAAAACTAACACACATTGCACCCAAATTAGGTACTGAGAAGATGTTTGCTTGTGTGCTATCACAGGCTGGTGAATTGGGAATAACAGCTTTGTATCCTCATCACATG